AAGTAAATAAATAAATTAAAAAAAAAAAAAAAAGAAAGCTCTGCGAGGCCTGAACCTTGACAAGCTCTGCCCTGGGATTATATGGATGTGTTTCTGGGAGAACCCATCCTATGAAACAGAAAATATATTTTTGGATGGTTCTTCACATTTTGGGGGCCTAAAAACCTGATAAGAGCCATGTATCTTCTCCTGAAAGAGACAATTTCCTATAAAACTTTGCAAATTGGGGCCAGGGAGATGGCTCAGTGGAATAAACGCTTCCCAGGCAAGCGCAAGGGCCTGAGTTCATTCCCCGGTTCCGCAGGAAAAAAAAAAAAAAAAAAAAAAACTTTGCAAGTAATTCTAGGGGCGTTGTGGACCCTCTTCAAGGTTTCAGCATACCCTTAAGCTCTATGGTACTCAACTCTAAAGTACAGACTGACCTTTGCAACTCACTGTGAATTGTCCATAGACAATCCATCCATGTTGAGGGTATTACTAATATGAGCTTCTTGTAAACTTGGATAAGTTACCCTCAGGCACAAAGCATTATGCCCTCCCCAGTTGGGATGGAGATAAAGCCCAGCCTTCAGGCTGCCCTGAGCAGAGAGTTCCAGAGTCCACAGGCCAGGAAGATGTGGCCCTTCCCTCTCCCCTTGTGCCCAGCAGCACCTTACCTTTCCAGCCCCAATCACCTTCTCCGCAGCATAGACTGCCTGGCTACATCGAGGGCAGCGCTCAGAGCCTCCGATCTTCTGGGCAAACTTGGACGCATTGGGGTTAGTGGTGGGTCTGTGGCCAGGGGCCCTGCATTGGGAAGGGTGTGAGGTGAGGTGACTTTCACTCACAATACAGTGGGATGGCCCTGCAAAGGAACTACCCCACCTCTACTGTGCCAGAGCTGGGGCAGCTCTCCCAGCCAGACCCACAAAAGCTAGACCACTGGACTCCTGGGCCATCTCCCTCCATAACTATGGACAGACCAAAGCTCAGCACAATATCAGCTTCACTGAAGCAACACAGTTCTGGACTCATGTAACACCTCATTCATTAAAAATCACCCTCCTGCCTCCTCATTTCTGCAGCTGGTCTGCTATCAGATGCTTTCCAGAAGAAATGTGCTGACCAAACATTCCCAATGGGGCAGTAATCTTGGCTGAAACTAGGCAAGTGGCCCATCAATTCCATCCATCTCCCAGAGCCCAGGAGCTGGCCAGGCTTTCTGAGCCTTCTGCTGCTTAACAATAAGCATTTAAGAATGTTTCCAGTGGCCTGGGAGATAGCTCAGTAGAATAAGTGCTTTCCTGGCAAGTGCAAAGGCCTGAGTTCAATTCCTGGGTCCTCCAAAAAAAAAAAAAAAAAAGAATGTTTCTAGTGTGGGAGGTGGGAATTTAAGGAAGAGAAAACAAGGAAAGGTGGTAGACATTGTTGTACTCACTCCTCATGCTTGATGCCCAGGGATTCTCCCTTGTCAGTACTCAGCGTGCCTGCGCCCTGCCCATAGCCATAGCCTTTTGGCCCATACTTCTTGCTGTAGCAGGATTTGCAGTAAATCTCCTCTCCATGCACAGCCACAGTAGTGCTGTCCAGATTCTTCTTGCAGACCACTGTGGAGGGAACATTGGAACCGTGAGATGTAGCTGGGATGAGCAGCTTGTTCCCTGAGCGCCCTGCAGCTGGAGCTCTCCTAGCACCTTACATCTGCACTATCCTGACCTTGCAAAAGAAATTTAGAAATGGCATTCAGTTGGGTCGTCAGAGTTGGAGAACAGAGGGTAGGATCTGCATCCCTGATTCTAGGTGGCCAACCCCACTTCCAGGAATCTGTGGGTGTCTCCTTCAGTCCTCTGTGCCATCACCCCTTCCCAGGCTGTGGTATACCTCAGACTTCAGAGGCAAATGGCCTATGCTCATTCCAAGCCCCAGAATGCCAAATGAAGCTCTGTGCTCCATCCTTGAGAAAGAGACCCTATGTTCCAGTAGGAGGGGAGAAAACAGAAAGGAAGGAAAAAGGGTGGGTTCTTCCTGCCTCGAACAATGGAATTGACAAAAGGGGATCTGGGATGTGTGCTTGCCAATGGAAGTGAGAGGGGAGTGGAGTCATGCATCCTGAACAGTTTAGTGTGTGTTACGTTCCCAACTTGGTGAGCTTGCAGTGAGGTGCAGGTCACTTAATCATGACCAGATTTGAAGTTTCTTCCTCCTCCTTGCTCTTTCTCCTCCATGGTACATGGTATACTGGGAACCAGCCAGGAAGCCCCAAGCTACATCTGCAGCACTTTATTTTTTTCCCAGTTTTGAGATAGGATTTGACTAAGTTGTCTGGGCTGGCCTCAAGCTTCCAATCCTCTTTCTTTTTTTTTTTTTTTTTTTTTTCAGTATCAGGGATTGAACTCAGGACCCTGTGCTTGCCAGGCAAGTGCTTATTCTACTGAGCTATCTCCCCGGCCCTGATCCTCTTTTCTTAGGTTCCTTATTAGGTGGGATTATAGGTGTATAGCACCACATCCAGATGGTCATAGGATATCTAACTTTAGAAATCACTTGGCCATCAAGAGGAATGAGGCTGGACATGGGGAAGAATTTCCTGACTGCTGGGGGAAAGAGATGGGATGGGCAGATGAACAAGAAAAATGTGTGGGTCTCAGACATCTTCCTGCTGGTTTCAGGCGAGCAGTGCCAGATGTTGTGCACAGAAAGGTTAAGACAGAATCAAGTTCCAGTTCTCTCCCTTTCCCCAAGTGCGCCCTTGGGCTGTTGAGTTTGCCTTTCTAGCCTCCGTGCCCTCATTTGTAAATGCAATTAATAACATCTGCCCAAAAGAATCAAAGAAGAGCTCACATATGATGTACTTAGAAGTGTCCTGCACATAATAGGTGCATATGTATGTTTGCTACTTATATAATTTTTTTAAAAAATGTATTTGGTATATAGTCTCACTATACAGTTCTGACTCATAGTGATCCTCCTGTTTTCAGCCTCCCCAGCACTGGGATTACAGGCATGTGCCATGATGCCACCGTGCCTGGTCTCAGTGGCCAGATCAGCACGCCTGGGGGTGGGGTCAGTGCGGCATGTGGTGCTGGGGATTGAACCCCAGTCCCTACACTTGCCCAAGCAGGCGCTTAATCTGCTAAGCTATCTTGCTGGCCCTCTACTTTTATTAATATTAATAAAGTTATTACACCAGGGAAGGGGAGGGCAGGCCAGGCTTCAAGGGATCATATGCCAACTACTCTACAGAGACTCAAATTCACTCCATTTGTTTTGCTATCTTCCTGTATTCTCAATCTATGAGAGGTTCTGACATTCCTTAAAGTTCTATGATACTCCTTAAATATTTGAGTTCAGTGTGCCCAATTGGGCTATGTCCTCAAACACCTTCTTCGGAAGCTAGAATCCAGAGACATCAGGGAAAAAGCCACACCTCTTACTTCCCTCAGAGGATCTAGGCTAGCTCCTTGTAGCTGGGCATTCTCTTGCCTTTAAAGGGTCCTTGGCCGGCTCTTCTTCCCCTAAGCCCCAGGTTGGAGATTTCAGACTAAATAAGGACCCTCTTGTTCTGCCCTTGAGATCTCCACCCCATTCCAGCACTCCAGGTCACCCAAATAAGGAACCTCCCACCAGCTCCCCTGGGGTTTGGCTCCTGAGAGAGAGGGTGAGAGGATAAGAAGCCATTGGCTCCAACAGTCCCTTCTAGGGGTGCCAATATTCCCTTCTAGGGCAGGAAGTCAGGAATTAGCTTGCGATTGTTTCCCAAAAGGCCTAAATTAAACTGAGAATTCCAAGACCAAAGGAAAGGCAAAAAGATAAGAGTAGGGGGAGGGAAGGCCTCTTGACTAATAAGAGGCTCAGAAGCAGCCCAGAGGAGACATGGAGCCTGTAAGCTGACTCCCGCTGATGGGGCTTTGCTGGTCAGAGCCTTCCCACTCTCCTCTTCTGCCTTGGTTGCCATCAAGGCACAGTCCTGCCTTCTGTGACCCTCCTTCCAACTCCCACTGAGACCCTCTGTCCCTCTACCTCCATCGAAGTAATATAGTGGGGACTTCACTTCACTTGTAAAGTCCACCAAGGATTCAATCGAGGGGAATTTCAAATAAGTCCCTTCTTTGTGGAAGGCCTGAATATATGTCTAGCAAATTATGTTAAGAAAAAATCCCCCACACACACACAAAAAAGAAACTCCTTACAAACTCATCTGCTTGACAATGACTTGCTGAAGCCATTTTGGGGCTGGGGAGATGGCTCAGTGGAATAAGCGCTTTCCTGGCAAGTGCAAGGGCCTGAGTTCAATCCCAGGTTCCACCAAGAAAGAAGAAAAAGAACTAAGGGAGTGTGTTGTTGAGAAAATATACTTCAAATACAGAGACAAGGCAGCCCCTTCACTCCCTCAAAGAGTAGTATTTGTCTCTGCTTCTGGAAGGAAGGCTCAAAAGCTTTCCTCAAGCTCAAAGGCCTACAGAGAAAGCTTAAGCTCACAAAGTGAGCCAGAAACAGGCCAGGCAAGACCCTGATTCCTTATGTCCAGACTTTCCTGCAGGCCATGTCTCCTCTAGAGTAGGCAAAGCATTTCAGGCCCAGGGCCAATGGATAAAAACGTCATGACCTCGATGCTCAGTCTGAGGATTAAAGAGTATGCAAGGCCACTGAGGCTTTCCCTGTGCTCCTGACTCTGGTGAACAGCCTGGGGTCAGCCTGCAGCCTTCGGTTCCACTAGTCACCACCACAGGGACAGGACAGGAGGGCCCTGCTTTTCCCTAGGCTGGTTGCCCACCCTCACAGTGGCCCAGAGCCAGGCACAGCCTCAGAGCAGCTCCTTCAGTTGGGTCTCCCTCCCAGGCTCTGAGCTACCTGCTGACCGGAACTGGCTGCCCTACTAGACCACAGCATGTGCTGCAAGGCTGCTGGTCCAGGTTACAGAACTAAGGTAAACCCAGGGCAAGTGGTTTGTGCCTGACATTGCCTCTTACATTAACCCTATCTTCCTCTTGCCCCTCCCAGACCTTGGAAAGGAAATATGGGAGCCACACTAAGCTGAACCCAGATATGATCAGAAGAACCTCTTTTAAGGACCTAAAAGAGGGGCCAGGGAGATTGCTCAGTGGAATAAGTGCTTCCCTGGCAAGCACAAGGGCCTGAGTTCAATCCCCGGTTCTGCAAAAAAAAAAAAAAGAAAAGAAAAGAAAAGAAAAGAAAAAAAGAAAAAGAAAGAAAGGACTTAAAAGGGCTGGGCCAGCAAGGAGGGTCAACTCAGGTCTGGACCTTCAGAGAGAAAGTCCTTGGTTTCTGTGCGTTATCCTAAATTCAAGCTGGATGCATGACTCACCGGAATGAAAAAGAGAAACAAAGGTCCTTCCATGCCTCAGCAAGTCATTGTGGAGAAGCCATCACATGCTGGCACTGCTCCAAGCACTAGGAATGAGCGTGTAGGGTGACGTCCCGGTCTGCTGACACAGTTGGTACTACCTGGCCTGCTTGGAGATTTAATACCCCAGAACTGACCAGGTCCCAAGACCCCAGAGACTCATGCTGTTTCCTGGGGTGACAATTACATAACCACTCCCACAGTCTCCCCGGCCCCCTCAACTGCTTCTTATTCCCATTGCCATCTCAGCCTGCACTCCAGGCCCTGCTCCTTCCTTCCTGTGCTGCTCCCTGAATTCTTGACTTCCCTCCATGCCTGACTAACAGCTACTCCCCAGCAGGCATGCAGGCAGGCACTAGACCACAGCTGGGCCCCTTTAGCCTGTGGTTAAGCAACATTTGAGAGCAGAGAATGGTCCTTCTGACCCCAGCAGCCTGGACCCTCTTCCAGCCAGTGCCAACTCCTTCTCTTACTCCCTTTCAAAAAAGAAAGGGCTTGAAACTTCCTAAGTGATGAGCTGCAGATAACAAGACGCTGCTGTGCGCAGTGCCTTTTCAGGCTGGAAGCCAGAGAAGTTCCGTGGAAGCTTGTCCACTCCCCATTCATCAGAGGAGCCCTGGGACTGTCACTCCAAGCCCAGGGTGGTGTACAGACCCTATTGCCCCGGGCTGGCTGGCTTCAGAATAGCCTGCCTTGCAGGAGGTAGAGAGCTGGGGAACATCTGGTGAACAGGTGGCCTTGGGCCTATCTGGATCCTATTCTGGAGTTCAAACCACCTGGAAACAAAGGAACATCAGATCTCTTGACTGACCTCACAGGATGCAGGACAGGCACTATTTCCTAGATCTCCTACATGGGCTGGAACTGCAACCTATGAGAGCTTCTTTGTAACACATCAGCTTGCTGCAGACCCCTTAGCAATGAGCATATGTGTGCTTGTGAGCATGTGCAAACATGCGTATATACATGTGCATCCCAGGAAACCCAGACATCCCACTGCCTCCACCTGGCCTACCCCCAAGGAAACACCTCTTGCCTAGATGGCCTCCCTTCTAAGGAAGCCTTCGCTCTGATCACAATGAATAATCACTCCAGAATCTGAGGACAGGCTTCTCCAGTTGCCACCTCCTGGCCTGGGCACTAGCCAATGCAGCACCATAGCCAGGACCCCAGGTTCCACCTGACCGCTCCCAGCTGCTTGGCGTCTTGTGCTTGTGACTGCAGCAGCCCTCTTTCCAGAGAGGGAAGAGTGGAGAGCTGTGAACTCTGCACCTTCCTTTTCTCCTTGCAGCCGACAGTGGTGTGGAATGAGAGACTGCTGTTGGCCTGGATGGAGCCAAGGAAGGGCAGGCCTTGTTCCTCTCTCCATCTGACCTGCACTGTAAAGCTGTGGCCTCTGTTGCCTTTGAGCAAGGAATAATTTTGGTTTAAAGCTTGTTGAACTTTGGGCTAAAAGTGCCTTCCTTTGAAATCACAGGTCCACAACTCAGGGAGGGGATGGTGTAGTGGGGGAACCCAGTGGAAAGTTTTCCGAACCAAATCTTTCCAGCTTGGCTCTCAGCCCCTGCACACCCGCCACCCCCACCAGCTCGACAAATTCACCCCTCAGAAAGCAGCTTCTGAAGGGAACAAAGAGGCCCTTAAGTGTCTCTCTCCCCAGCTTGTGCCTCAGCCAAATGGCAAGCTAGTTACATCCCCTGGGACCAGTTGCCTGGGGTGCAGACAGGCCCGATGTTGGGGGCAGCAACAGGCTGCGTCCCTGTCCTCCTGGGAGCAAGAGCAGGCCCGGGCAGTACTCACTGCACAGGAAGCAGGACTTATGGAAGCTGCTGCCCTCGCACTGGACCTCTTCGGCAAAGTAAACTGTCTTCTGGCACACCCCACATTTCTTGCCTCCTCCCCAGTTTGGCATTCTGAAAAGGGACACAGAAATTGGAATTAAGTTCACACAAACACAGACTGGCTGTGACAGAGGCAGAGACGGGTACGGGGGAAGGCAGGGCTCCCGTGTAGACCACCAGCCCTGGTGGTCCACTCTCTACTCACTCTCAGCTTCCTTCAGCTGCTCATTGGGGATCCGTCCCCCAGTCTAATCTAGTTACCCAGCAGCTGCTTGGATCATCAGCCCCAAGCTAGGCATTCTGAAGAGTTCAACTGAGCACCTGACCCAGGATTTACAGGGAATGCCGTAGAGTGATGCTACCCAGCCCACTGCCGCTGCCGACATTGATGTGGCACACCTCACAAGGAGGATGGCACAAGATCTGACCAACCCAAGTTCCCAAGACACAAGTCCATCTGTGTCAGGTTCACACAGGGCAACACTCCTGCTGTTGAAAAGGGAGCATGGAGGTGGCAAAGGCATTAGGGAAAAGCAAGGGAACGATCACCCTCTAAGATGGGGGAAGGCCCATGCGGGGTGGAGGTCACCAGGCAATCTGCAGAGGTGCTAGCCAAGTTCCCTTCCTTAACTTGGGTGTTCGTCACATGCAGAGGTCCTTTGTAATTACTATTTGAACTCTATATGTAGGTCATATGCATTCTTCTCATGTTAAAATAAAGCTTTAAAAAAAAGATTTCAAGAAACACAGGAGGGGGCTGGTGAGATGGCTCAGTGGTCTAAAGCACCTACTTGGAACAAGCTGGGCTAAGCAAAAGCACAGGGACCGCGGTTCAATTCCCAGCACCACATGCCAGCCAGCCCCACCCCCCCGGTGGGCTGAACTGGCCACACTAAATAAATTAATTTAAAAAAAAAAGAAAGAAAGAAACACAGGAGGCAAGGCACCACTCCAGACTTTAGGGTACCTTAGGACTGGTTGAAGGGTTTTGCAATGCCAGCCCAGGTCTGATGAATCATTCTAAGATTGAGGTACCAGAATCAATTTTTAATAAAGCACCCAGATAAATTCAAAGCAGGTCGTCTGAACAAACTTAGTGATTCCTTATGCACTGGTTCAGAACTGGGGTCCTGATACCAGAAAGCCTGGTCCCATCTTGAGTCAACCACTCCCTGGCTGTGTGATGCTGGCTGGGCAAACTTTGATTTCTGTATCTGCGAAATGGAGCTGAAAATAGCAACTACTTCACAGAGTACTTCTGAGGGTTAAGTGGGGTATGGTACGTCAGAAGCCTGCAATACGGTGAATGCTTAGTAATCATTAACACATAAGTCAATAACTATAACACAGGTGATACCACAGGCCAGGGCCTGATTTGTCAAAAAAGCAGCAGAGAACATAAATGCTGCAGGAAAGAAAACAGAAAGTCTATAAAGTGATAGGATCCACTTCTCTCCTTCCTCTTCAATCGCCAACAGACTTATGAATGAAGAGGAAAGCAACCCTTCCAGTTCTTTCCACAGCTCATGCGAGGAAGGGTGCTACATGAGGCACAGCCAACAACAGAGGGCAGGAGGTGGATGCCATGGTGCCCCAGGACTTGGTGAGTGGGGGCATGCAGGGAGCTAGGAGAGGGGCTTGTTGCCTCACGAGGCAAAGAGGCCTAAGGAGAAATCTCCCCAGAGTAAAGGACATGTTCAAAACTGAGAGGTGGCATCCAGAGCCCAAGCCTCTGACGATATGACATGAGCTGGCAGCTGTGGGGTCAGCATCAGACACGTGTGGATGCTATACTGGAGAGCTTCCTGTCTGACGTGGGCCTCAGCACAGGAAGAGGCCAGGTTGGCCTCGCATCCAGGACCCCTGGCACACAGGTGTTCAGGAGATAGCTGAGCAGTGAGTGCAGGAGGCCTTGCTCCTGGGAGCCAGGTGTGCCTCTGCATTGTGGGACCTGGGAGAGAGAAGTGGTGAGCGTGTGCAGGTCGAGAGCAGGTGTAATGTAGAGTGCTTGCAATAGGGATGCCCTGCTTGCTGCCCGTTTCTGGGGCCACTTTCAAGCCAACGGGTGTCTTCAGCAAGATTTCATTGGAGCAGAGAAATACCTTTGCACTTCGTTTTAGAATGCAGAAGTTTCCTCCAGTCCCACCCTCTCCCTAGTCTCCTGCTGTCACTTGCATGAGGACCCATGTGTCAGTGGCCTTGGCCTCTCCTCCCAGCCCAGATTCATGACTCATGTGCAGTCGCAGGTGTCCTGTTCACACAGGAGCCCTCCCTCCTTTCTCCACCTTTTCTCCTGACTTCTGCATTTCCGCATGTGGCCAACATCTCCCTCATTAAGGAATCTCAGCTCAGCCCTCTTAGAACCTAGAAAGACTGTTTACCCAGCTGTGTCCCATTCTGCTCCCCCTTACCCACCACCCCAAAGCATGTCTTCTCCTCCCCATTCCTCCCTCATTGCCCTCTACTGCTTGATAGCCTCCCACCTTTACCCAGGGGCTGTGACAGCCTCTTGCTGAGGACTCTGCCATATTCTCCTTTCTTTTGAGCACTAGTCCCCTTTCAGCCATGACGCTGGCCTGGGCCTAAACCAGTCAGTCAAGGTTATGGGCTCCGAGGTGTGCAAGGCCAGCAGGATAGAAGGGACTTCTAAGAATGCAGGAATGGAAGAAAAATCATCCTGCCTTCTGGGAGAGTTCCTGGAGCAAGTACCTCCCACCGCAGGCAAAGAGAGACACACAGAGGGCTCTGGGGTTGCTGGTATGGCAGGGAGAGATAGGCAATCCTGGCATGAAGCTGATCAGCGAGAGACAAGGAAAACTGAGTCTTAGATGACAAGGGCTTGATTAACTTAAACCTAAATTTGATCTATCTCTAACCTATAGTTAGACAAAGCAACAAATTCCCTCTATGGTTCAGGCCTGTTACTTGTACCTTTTCATGGCCACACGGGGCCATGCAGAGTAGAGCCTGGCAGCCAGGCCTCTCTGGAAGATTCATTCTTGCACAGCTGCCAGATCTTCCTCAAGGAGCTCAGAACCCACCAGGGACATCACTGCCTACAGATAACCCCACTGCCCCCTGGTCCTTGCTTGCTTTCTGGGTGTCTGTTGTTCCTCCACCTCGGCTCCTAGGCTGTTGATTTCATACTTGTGTTCTGCCCCTGACTGCCCAGCTCAGGGTCAGGCAGGTAGAAGCCTGACGTCACATCCTGTACAGAGCAGGGGAGGCTACACTGAGGCTGAGTCCCACTGCCCTCCCCCTCAGGGTCTGGAGGGACCACTGTCCTTGTATGAGTCCAGTTCCTCCTTCCCAGATCCTGGGCTGATTGGCCAACTCACACACATCAGCCACAGACAGGTTTTCTCTAACCACAGGTGGCATCTCTTGCCTCCCCAGGTGACTTAGGGGTCAGTCTCCATTCCCAGCCTCTGATGTCCCAAGAACTTCAGGGCTAGCTGTCCTTGTGGAGCAGGCCATGGGGCTGCAGAACCACATGTGATGTGGAAAGCGATTGAACGGGAGCGGCAATGTCCGCATCTGCAGCCTGGCCATCAGCCACCACTCCCTCTACCCTACAGCAGGAGTCTCCACTCCACTCACGCAGCCACACCCTCCCAAGCTACTCAGTGCCATGTCCCTAGATCTAGGGACAGAGCCTGAGCCAGCTAAGCCAACTGCAGGGATCCTACCCCTGCTAGCAGCTGATTCAGGCATGGACAAGACCATGTCTGACCAGTGAGCTAGGAGAGCAGCTTTGCTTAGAAACTGTGAGGAAGTGCATTCTGTCACACAGGTTTTCTTCCACCTGTGAGGTGCCAGGACAGAAAAGCTACAGCCAAGACACTCAGACTGCCAGTAATGCCTAATATGCACCAATATGTCTGCATCATTCCATTTCACTCTCGTCTCCTGAAGGAGGTAAACATATCCCTATTTCACAGATAAGGAAAACAAGGCTCAGAGAGGTTAGGTAACTCACTTGTAGTCACACAGCTGGAAGAGCCAGAACTGGGTTCTGATGCAGGTGTCCTGAGTCCCAGTCACTATCTATGGGCCATGCTCCTTTAGAAATGGCTGCAGATGGCAGGGGCACAGTTCACTGAGGCTGCTTCTCTTCCTGGCCTTTCCATCCCCCTGAACCAGCAGGGGCACACTCATGCCCCTAGGGATGCCCTTAAGAGAGGAAAGTTCCTCAACCACGTGGTGGGGAGCTAGTTCCAAGCAGTGTTTTGTTCCCTGAAACAAAAGCGCTTCTCCCTCTGGGGGAGACCCAAAGCTCTGCACAAGCCTCCTCTTGTTCTCCCTGGCCCCATGTCAGAGGCCCACATCCAACAGGGCCCTGGGGAATCAGGGACATGGGCAGAGAGATGGGTGAAGCCCAAGGAGCTGTCAGTGGGCAAATCTGCTCAGGATGTTCCCTGGCTGGGTGGCTGTTCCTGTGAGCTTGATGTCTATCTGGTTAGGGGCCTCCTGTGGGAGCAAGGCAAGGTTCTGATGTGAAGCAGAGACACTGTATATCCAGGACGGGGTTCACAGCCCCTAAAGATGTGTTCCATGCTCCCTCTGCCAGATGAGGGCCTCTCCAGGGCACCTGCCCGTGGAGGAGAGTCCCAGCCACCCCTTTCCACTCCCTTCCACCTTGCCCCTTTTTTCCAACAGCCAAATTTTGGTTGTGGAGGGGCTGAACTACCTTAAAAGGACAGCTGTTTCTCGCTGTGGAGAGCCTACAGGGACTCTTCGCTCCCTCTCAATTGCCTTTGAAGCTCTAGGGGACAGAAGACCTGGGGGAGGCTGTGGCCAAAACCAGTTCCCAAGGTCATAGTGCAGGCTGTGCCATTTAGTGGGTAGGAAACAGGAGCTGAGGGCAAACAGGAGATGTACCCCCTGGCAGAGTAGTCTGAGGCAAAGGACTTTCTTGCTGTGCTAACTCTTACCTCTAAGATAGAGCACTGACTCCCAAAATCAGGCCCAAGGGTTGAGGGAGAACGTTAAGACAGCGATGGCACAAAGCCTGGCACACTTCAGGGGTCACACCTCTGAATACCTCCAGCAAAACGGTACAGCCAAGTGGTTGCAACACTACCTTGCCAGATGTGGGGCCAAGTGGTTACCCTCCTTCCTGCTAATCCACATCTGGAAGGAACAAGGCTCAAAAACAACAGGCCAAAGAGGGAACAGTAATTCCTGATTATCTGTCAGCCTAGCCAATGAGTCTAGAATGAGCTACTTAGCCTTCTCTGGCACTTACATCCCCTGGCTACCTGATACCACAAGCAGGGACCGAAGTCCTGGATCAGGCACTCTTCATATGGCTCTGGGCATTCAAAGTCATTTCTATCTTCTGTATCACTTATCTACAGCAGATTCCCTTCTGAGAATTACAGTCCCGCTGGGAACTGCTGTGTTCTGGTTTGTCCTACATCACTGTGTTGATAATCTCCATGGAGTACAATTTGAATGTTTTGCTGCAAGGCAGGAACTGTCCAGTTAGTTGTTTACCTGAAATGTCAGGGTCCTCAGCGCTAGATGGAGATTAGACATGACTGACCTCTTGTAACAAGCAACTAGCAAGGTCAGCTTCCTGGTCTAGTTGTCTCCTCAAGAACTGAGTCCATATCCTCAGTCTTGAGAAGTGAGATTCAAGATGGCAGCCCTTAACAGCTGCTGAGTAGGTAGCGGACACAAGGCACAAACTCTCAAGCTTACCCCAATCCCCTGGAAGTTGGCAGAGATGAGTCATCTTCAGTTCAAGTTAAGGAATCATCTCAGGGATATATAATCTTTAACCTGCCAGTGACAGAAAGAGGGCTCCCTCTCAAATCTTGACAAACTATTCCAATCTTTATTTTACCCATCTCACTCATTCCATTATTACTGGTTCCCTAAGGCCAAAGAGTAACTCATGATTTCAGGGCTTAGGTCTCCACCCTCTTGGTCCAGCAGAGACCTGTCAAGTGTTTATCTGGTTAGAAGTGTGCTGCCCAGTTACCTGAGCTGCTCATATCTGCCCCATACGCAGGGTGCTGTCATGTTTTCCAACCCCACAGCTCCTCCTCCTCCTCCTCTTCCTCCTCCACGCCTCCACATATCCACAGAACTACCAAGAATACAACAGAAGGAGGAGGCCACTGGTCTATAGTCCACAGAGCTGCTATCTTTGAGGTGAGGCCTGAGACCCCAGGAAATAGACGGTTCCTGAAGGTAATGGTCCCTAGTGTGTACATGTGGTGGCCAGCAGGGCAACATGACAGACTCAGCTTTGACTCCATAGTCCCAATACATGATTTCTCAGGAGAACTGCATATAACTCATCTCTCTGAAAAGTCAACCAGGACCACTGAACTAGAATTATTCTACTCAAGGCCCCAACTACCCCAGAACCTGACTGTAAGTAACTGTCAGGCCAGAAATTTCTTCCTTTCTCCAAGCCAGGACCTCTCTCTCTTTTCAAGTCCATTTGCCATTGTGGCTTCAGTAGGATTATGAGCTGCTGGAGGCAATGCTGTATTGGTCCAGTTCCCTATTTATCCCCTAATGCCTTTTACAGAAGTGAAAATGGAAGTCTATAAGGTTTTTTCTTTTTTGTTTGTTTGTTGTTTTGTTTTATGCAATGCTATGGATCAAGCCCAGGGCCTGGGACATACGAGGCATGTGCTCTACTACTGAGCCGTGCCTCTCCAGCTCTACGACTAAGTACTACGACACTGGTACAGGAAATCCTATATTAGTCAGGCTTTGCAGACTAATTAACACATTGGTTTTCTTTCTTTTTTTTTTTTTTTTTTTTTTTTTTTTGCTTTTGTCTGTATTGACTTCAACTTATAGTGGTAACAGTTGGATAAATCCATGTGTTGAACAAAAAGGCCTGAGTGATTGTTCTTGAGTAATTTTTTAAAAGTAAAAACAAATGAGCACTTAGGATCTATAAACACAGGTGGCTTGCAGTTGACATCTCAGGAAGCTTCAGCCCACGCCACCCCTGTGCAAAGAATTCCAGGCCTCTCCTGGAGTCCATCCTCCTCCCTCTCTCCCCCGAGATGGAGCTCCAGCTGTGACCCTTGTCACCATAGAGGAGTCAGACGCTGCTTCTGGTCTTTGGAAGCCCTGGAAATGCCAGAGTCTGGAAACACTTGCTGCCTCTGTATTTACACACTTTACCATACATGGGAATTACCCAACACTGGCGTCAGATAAATTCCTGGGAAGCTGCGTAGTACAAGCCACGTCATTACCATATAAATCCCTGACATCTGGAAACTGCAGACAAGGCTTGATCAGAGCTCAAGACCCCTCCCCTCTCTCCTTCCCCAAGTAGCTTTAATGTCTGCCTTCTCCCCCACCCCCAAAAGAAATCTGGCCAGGTTCCAGGCTTCTTTTCTTTCCTGAGAACTTGACCCCAAAACACAAACATCCATCAGATCTGGTGAAAGCATATTGAAATCCAACTTGTAGGGTCCCCTACCCCAACAGCCATGCAGCAAAGGGGACTTAAGAGCTCATGAGTGCTTAACCCAGAACCCAGATGGAACCCAGACTCCATCCACACTAAACCCAGCACAGCCATATCTGCCTTTAACTCATTTAAAAGCCACTGTGATGCATCTTGTAACACTGTGTCTCACAAAGCTGTTTCCCTAATGAGTTGAACTGGAAAGAATGTAGAGGAATAAAGAAAAATAACAGGTTGTGGAAACAGACTACATTAACTCAGCTCCACCAGGGAGGGCTACGATCCTGAGCAAGTTCCTTGTCTCCTCTGGGCCTCGGCTTCTTCATCTGTAAGAGGGCAAGCATCAGCACTTAACTCCTAAACTACCCAAGAGGATATAGTGAAACAGCACAGTCCTGGCCCACAGCAAGTGCAGAGATATCTGCTTACTATTATCTTAAGCAAAGGCCCGCTCCAACACTGTTCCTGTGTGGCTCACTGTGTGTTTGCTAACAAGTTTGCATAGCAGCACAGGGCTGAGCTGGAGGCCGAAGGTCTTTTTCTCACTAAATCTCAAACTGTTTCATACAAACCTCTGCAAAAAGTCCTCCAGCAAGCCAACTTCTCCTAAGGAACCAGGCTTACAAAGATACTTCAAACTGCACTGAACCCCCAGAATGTCTGTCTATTTGTTTTCCCCAGCAGGAAACCCACAATAAATAAAATGTTTGCCCCCACCCTGCGCTTGTCAGCGCTATCCCTAAAGAAAATGTGGAGATCCCCAGCTGGGCATCTTTGGCACAAAGCCCATTTCTACCCCATTTGTTCACCAAGTGTTTACAGATCTCCAACCACGTGTTGACACAACCTTCACAGGCTGCTACTCCAGCCCAGTGCAGACTGGCTGGCTCCCTGGCACACAAGTGCAATTATAAAATGCAACCTGCCTAGGCCAGGAAGATGGTCCTAGGGTGACCAGAGGCAAAGAGGGTGAGGTACCCTTGCTTTTTACATTTTCTTAGCAGGCTCTCCTCTTCTCCCCAGCATTCTCTCCAGACACTCCTCCACACAGGGCAGGAAGCCTTGGGGGCAGTTCTCCCAGGGTGCTCGGGTCCCCACCACACCCTCCGTAGGATAAACTTCCTTCCCCGCCTGACAGTTCCCACCCTTTAGATCCTCACCAAGGCAAAGGTCCTTCTTCACTGGTAGACTGAGAAGTGCCAAGCTGGATTCAGAACTAACAGGATAAGAAGCCCCTAAAAGCACCTGAGGGCTTGATCCAGTTTCTCCTGAGAAGGGTGGTCCTGGCTCTAGGATCTGGAAGCAGCAGCTGAGCAAAAGCAGGGAAAGCTTGGCACCCAGTCCCCAAATGCCACCTGCCTTTGGGATGACTGAGAGGCAGCTCCAGACAACTGGCTTCTGGGCGAGCGGACCAGACCATAGAAAGCTGTGCCCAAGTGCTACTGAAGACCTTTCGTAACACACACACCAAGGACCACCCCAAAAGAAACTGAAGCACTGAGAAGTTGTCACTTGTCCATGGTCACATGTGTATTAGGTGGCAAATCCAAGAGTCAGCACAGCCTGCCACCAAGATTCTAGGCTACCTCTTCAGGATAATCTTTCTATCAGAGCCCAGCAGGCTTCCTTGGTGCCACTGTGACAGTCTCCCAAGGCCCTGCTCTTAGCATTCATCACCAAGGGGGCACAGGGTGGGAGCTGGACCTCGACACTTCAGCATGGGAGGGCCAGTGCTCATATTATAGGCCTAGTTTGGACCCAAACTTGATTAGATCACAACCCAAGGATCAGAAAGGCACAGAATACACTCAGGCCTGTGCCACCCGACAAAATACCTCCCTCATGGGCTGCTTGTTGGACAGCATATAGCAACTTGCTTCAAAGTCCCAGAAATACTGCAATTTGCTTAAATGTGTTCAATATCAGCCCCTTTCTCGCTTGCCAGTTTTCAGGGACTGAGGCCACGAAACACTTTAGACTCTCTGCTTTCAGTCATTGGTCCCAACCTAGCACTGGATGGGGGAGGTGAAACCACGCAGCTTCTAGCTTCAAGAAGAAGGAAAACACCTGCTCTCAGGGCTACAGATGCCCCATCAGGCCCACGAAGCCTGATCTTTCCCCTGCACCACCCGCGGGCACTTTCTCCCAGAGGAGGAGGGGGAAGGAGGGGGTGGCACGGATGCCCTCATCCCTCAGCCCTACAATGAGCGTCAGTGGCCTGCAGAATCGCCCGATTGTTCTGCCCAACCTGCAGGCGGTGGAGAGAGCCGGGTCACCCTGGGTCAGGGGCACGCGGAAGCCAATTGTATCCAGGAAGCCCCTGAGTGCGGAGGAAACCGATGCCTCCCGGAAGAAGAAGCACCGCCTGGGCTAACTGTGGCCACTTCTCCCAATTCCTTGCTCCCGAAGGCCTATGGCTCACGTCACCGTTCTTCTAAACTTTGCTCACAGCTGCCAGAACCGCGGCGGGCAGAAAATACCGAGAGGTGCTGGGTGCGTCCCAGCCGCGGGCTGCTGCTGGGGACCTCACCAGGAGACGCTCGGGCTGGGACGCACTCACCTGGCAGCTGGTGGGCGGCAGTGAGAGGGACAGACGCAGTCGGAAGCGGTGGCTGGGTGCACCCTGCCTGCGCGCCGTTTTTGTTCCTCTCCCGGAAGGCGTGTCCTGAGCCACACCAACCAGTAGGCTTTGCACACTGCACCACGACCGGGCGGGCTGATGTCACGGCGCGAAGCCCCGTGGCGTTGCCCCCCCAGGACCCAGGCGGGGTTGGCTGGAGGCAGCAGGGGCAGGAGACGTCCGAAGGCGGAATCGCCGCGGTCCCACTGTGCGCTTGGCCCGCCAACACCCCAGTAGAACATCTTGAAGACACGAAGGTCCTCTCAGGGAATTCCCTGGGAGTCAGAAAGGCAGTTGTAACCTGAGACCTCTGACCCTGCCCCCCATAAACTTGGGCTCCTAGGGGAAAAGAGAGAGGCCTCGAATTTGCGTGTCCCCATTTTTACCGTGTAGGTTCTTAGCTCAGGTTTGCTGTCATTGACACAATCAAAGGAGGCCATTTAGCTTGGTAAAAAGGAAAAAGGAGATGGAAGGGTGTTTTTGCTTCAAAAAAAGCATGTCCAGAGATAAAGGTGTGTTGGAGCTCTTTATGAGAGAGGGAATACAGTGAGATCATAGGCACAGCAGGCTTGTTCCATCCTGTGCTGTCCTAGACCTCTTCCCAACCTGGACCCGGACCTCTCCCTTGCCCAAGGGAATGAAACTGGACGTGAGCTCCTGGGGCACCTGCAGATTCTGTCCACTCCTCAGCTGAGAGGTGGGCATAGCCAGTTGTGCCCCAGGGCTGAGGACGATTGGAGAAGTCTCCAAAGAGGAAAAATTTTAAAAAAAGTCTAACTATTAAAGTTCCATTCTGTGGTGCCAGCAGAGTGGGTGAATGGAAGGGGCATATCTTGGTCACCAGAGAAAAACAGGCCTTAAAGAGCCAGAGGCCCCTCCCCAATTCCCTACTCCCAGCAGCTCTTGGCTTCCTGTTATCTGAAAGGGGTGTAAGCCACAGTGGTACTGTGTGGGGTGCATTGCAGGTGGGGTACACTGAGCTCCTATAGGAGCTTTGGTATGCTATGGTAACGCCCAACATGTGACAGACAATAAATGTGAGCTCCCTCCTCCAACAACCCCTTGATTTCTTTGTCTCTTTGAGACAGGGTGTCTCTATGTAGTTCAGGCTAGACTTGAGCTCACTTTGTAGCTCAGGTTGGTATCAAACTCACAACAATTCTCCTGCCTCAGCCTCCCAAATGCTGGGATTATAGGAGTACGCTACCATGCCCAGCCTTGCTCCAACAACAGCTGCCCCAAGACAGCAGTTTTTTTTTTTTTTTTTTTTTTAAATATTTATTTATTTTTATTTATTACATGTATTTATTGTGTGTGTGTGTGGCCAGCTCAGCCCACCAGGGGGCGGGTCTGGCTGGCATGTGGTGCTGGGGATCGAACCGCGGTCCCTGCGCTTTGCCAAGCTTGTTTCAAGTAGGTGCTTTAGACCACTGAGCCATCTCTCCAGCCCCAAGACAGCAGTTTTTAAGACGGACTTTTCTCCAAGACTTAACCTTCAGGTTCAGGACACTTGAAAGCTGCCTCTAGGGCTGCCGCTAGGCTGCAGTTAGCTGCAACATATCCCCCTCCCTACACATGCCCTTACCAAGTTCTCAGCCCTTCCTACAGCCTGTGACTTGCAAGTAAGGGGACACAACAGCTGGCATCCAGCAAAGCTGCTGCTGGACCAGGGGAAAACCCTGCCCAGAAACCCAACACTGAAGGCCAGAACTGCTCCCCAAGGGCCTAGGACGCTGAGGGTCCCAGTAGGGGTGGGGAAGCAAAGCTAGGTTTTGCAGGAAGGGATCATATCATATCCACCACCACCACCACCCCCAACACACACACACAGGCCTGTTCCAAGCAAGGAGTACTGCCTTTGGTTTGGACCTGGTGGATTTGCATTTGAAAGAGCTTGAAGAATCTCCGAGAGACTGTTCCCAGGAATAGGAGGACCAAGGAAGAATCAAGGAGACAGTTCTTCCTTCTAGTTAATAGGGTTTGGCTGTGGTGGTTGTTTTAAGACAGGTCTCACTACATTGCCCAGGCTAAACTCAAACTTGCTACCTTCTGTCTCAGCCTCCTGAGCCCCTGGGATAACACAGTGCTTGTTTGTAGTTCTTTGTAACTATTGCACTATATTTCCTTACAAAAGGGCAAATGCCTGCATTCCCTTTGATCTGGGGTTGTTCTGTCTGGAGTTGTGGATCTGCTTTTTTTTTTTTTTTTTGGCAGAGCTGGGGATTGAACTCAGGCCCTTGTGCTTGCCAAGGAAGCATTTATTCCACTGAGCCATCTCCCCAGCCCCCTGGATCTGCTGATAGAGTTCCCTATGAGGTAATACCAACCCCTTTTGTGAAGTGTTCTTAGAGACGGTCCAGGAAAAAGAAAGCAATAATGGAGTTGCCTGTGGATTTCTCCCAGAGGATTGTAGAGCACCTTGTAAAGAGAGCAACTGTTCAGTGTGTCATCAGAAAGGAATGGTTTTGGTAGTGAGTAATGTAGCGATAGCCCACAGCTACGAGGCAGTCGACTGTCTCAGGCAGTTGGGTATGCATGCATATATGGTCATCTTGCTTGTCCACCCAGAGACTGTGTCAGTGCAGGTGTCTTAGGAGATATCTAGGCTATGTAGGAGATAAAGGAGCCAAACATGGCTTGCCCTTTCTCTTGTTTTCCCAGAGCCTCACAATTTTTGGTTCTGTTGCTGTTCTTGTCTGCTGCAGGCCTTTGGACTTGGTTTTGGGTGGCCCATCTGCAGTTAATGAGCACTTTGGGAGTGAGCTAAGTAAAAAATGAGGCTGGGGTTACCCATCATGCAAATAGGCATGAGCCTTGTGTGGAAATCACAAAAAGGCTTGTAAGTTTTTTGTTTTGTTTTGTTTTTTTTAAAGAGTGGAATAAGGGGTTTTTTTGTTGTTGTTTTTTTGGGGTTTTTTTTTTTTTTGTTTTGTTTTACAAAAAGGCTTGTAGACGTGATCAATACATGGGACATCACACATACCTAAATTTTATCTTCGCAGAGATACTTTGGCTCCTTAGATATATAACTGTACTTGGATTGGTCTGGCCTCACTAGCAACACTATCTACAGAGATGAGATGTGAAATCAGAGCTTGTCACCAAGACATTCTCTGTTGGGGGTTTTAGGAGGGTTTGTTTTTGTTTTTGTTTTAGAAAAGGGTCTACAGGGTGTTCAGGGTCTCACTACTAGATCAAACTCCTAGTAATTTGCCTGTTTACAGCCTCCCAAGAGCTGGGATTAACAGGTGCTCACAGCCACGCCCAATCTTCTGTTGGGGATTTTAAAAAGAAGACAGTTGGGGACACTTTTCAGGAAACCCCTCTTCTCTCTGTGCGCCCCACTCAATGTCTCTGGGCTGATGCTCACTGGCTCTGAGGGATGAAATACTGCATATTATGGGTGGGCAGTAGCGCTTCTGCCCTCCCACTTCTGACTTCTGTTGCCTTCTCTGGCATCATCTTTTTTCTTTCCTCCTCTACCAACATCCTGATGTCACCTCTGCTCATGCTATGAAGTTTCTCATTAACCCAAGGTGAGTGGGGTCCAAAGGAAGGCCGAAGGAAGATGAGGAAATATGGTTGGCTTATCTCTAGCCATCATCACAGAGAGTTTACAGATCCACGTGGGGCAAGAGATTTCTCACACATCTATCCCCCCATCTTTCTACTCTTCTACCCATCTATTCATTCATTTAATGAACATTCACTGAAGTCCTACTCTGTGCCGGTCATGTACTATAGATGCTGGGAATACTGGGAAGAATATGGCTTGGATCCTGACCTGAAGCTGTCTGCAATCTAATCTGTATACCATTGTCAAGGCCCCAAAGTCTTTCATGAGCCTGAAGGAAGTGATATTGAGGACAGTAAGTAGCCAAAGGATAGATGTCCAATTCTTTTTTCCCTGGGGAAAGGCACAGGGTCAGGAGACATGATTCACAGTTGGCTAGGAAGGATAAAGGGAAAATTCTTGGAACAGTGTTGTCTACCAAGGAACTGCAAGTTCATCAGCAGAGCTAACACCTGGGATGCAAAGACTAGAGTTCTGGGTCAGCCAAATAGCTCAGCGGATTAAAGCACCTGCAAGCAGGTGCAGAGGCTGGGGTTCTATCCCCTGTCTTGCCATGCTGGCCCCACCCCAGGGGGTATGATGATACTGCAATTGAGATTGGGTGTGGTGGTGCCCACCTGTAATCCCAGCATTTGGGAGGCTGTAAACAGGCAGATCACTATGGTCTGATCTAGTAGTGAGACCCTGAACACCCTGTAGCTTCTTCTCTAAAACTACAGAAAGAAAAAAAAGACTGAGTCCCATAGGAAATGGGACTAACAGGGAGAGAGGGACTAGAAAAATATGGCAGCTATTATAAACCATCTGAGGGGGCTAGGGAGATAGATAGCTCAGTGGAGTAAATGCTTTCCTGGCAAGCTCAAGGTCCTGAATTTGATCCCTGGTACCACCAAAAAATAAAAAAATAAAAATAAAAAATAAACCATCTGAGGAAAATGGAAGTTCAGGGTTGTGGGAATACTGAAGGATAAGAAACAGGGAAATGCCATGGTCTCTCTAGACTGCCTTTTAGGACATGGCTGTGACTCCTTACCAGACTAAATCAGAATTGGGTGAAAGAGGTCAAGGTAGCATCAGGAGATTATTGCAGCATGCCGAGAGAGATGACAGCCACCAGTAGCCATGGGGGCTCGGGGGTTAGTCTCGGTTTGCAGAGTACTGAAGAGCAGAATCCATCAGACAAAAAGAGCAGGTAGCTCCTGCAGCTAGCTCCTGGGGTGCAAGAGGGCAGCAGGAAGGAAGGGGTGGCTCCTGGTTTCTGGGCCAGGAAACTCACTAAAATAGGTAAGCTGAGGCGAGCTACAGGTTGAAGGCAGCGGGAGATGACCGGAGTCTAACCACCTCCATCCTCACCTAGCCAGAGACCACTTATGTTGGTTTTTTTTTTTTTTTTTTTTTTTTTTTTTTTTGTGGAATCGGGGATCTGCTGGATTCTGGTATTACCAGAATACCCAGGTAAAGCAG